AATGAATAGAAAGTATATTTATGTATCTCTCTGTATCATTTACCTACCTATGTATTCATCTATCTATTGAAGTATCCATTGCAATGTTATTTTTATAAGAAATAAATTACCGGGCTGGGGATGTGTCTCAAGTGGTAGTGCGCTCGCCTGGCATGCGTGCGGCCCGGGTTCGATCCTCAGCACCACATACAAAGATGTTATGTCCGCCAATAACTAAAAGAAATAAATATTTTTTAAAAATTTTCTCTCTCTCTCTCTCTCTCTCTCAAAAAAAAAGAAATTACCAACAATTTAAACAACTGATATTAGAAAAACGATTGAGTAAGTTTTCTACCTGAAGAAAAGTCAGGTAGCCATAAAAATTAAAATTATAACTATTCTGTAGCAACAAAGAAAAAGTTTGTTTTTCCACATTGAGTGAAAGAAATTGACATTAATTCTGTGAGCACTATGATTGAAACTATTTACAAGGTGGATACACGTGGACCAAAAATGCGAACACGTGTAAAAGTAAAATTTAGTTAATTGTTATGTAGAGTGATATTCTACCTTCCTCATTTCCCTTTCTTCCTGTTTTTTATACTAATAAAATTTTCTTATGAATTCAGGAATCTAAAATTGTGCTTATAGCCAGGTGTGCTGTTGCATGCCTGAGATCCCAGCAGCTTGGGGGTCTGAGGCAGGATGATTGTGAGTTCAAAGCCAGCCTCAGCAAAAGCCAGACATTAAGCAACTCAGTGAGACCCTGTCTCTAAAGAAAATACAAAATAGGGCTGGGGGTGTGGCTCAATGGTTGAGTGCCCCTGAGTTCAATCCCCAGTACCAAAAATAAATAAGTAAATAACTGAAATAAAATTATGCTTGTGTCTCAATGCTTTTTTTTTTAAAAAGCATATATTTAAAATATATAGCAGATTATTGATTTCCCCTTGCTAAGATTAATGAATGTTTTTAGGTAATTAAAAGATGATGCATCTTTTTTTTTAGAGAGAGAGAATTTTTTAATATTTATTTTTTAGTTTTCTGCGGACACAACATCTTTATTTGTATATGGTGCTGAGGACCGAACCCAGGCTGCACGCATGCCAGGCGAGCACACTACCGCTTGAGCCACATCCTCAGCCTGATGGTGCATCTTTTTAAAATTTCTTTCTTTCTTTTCTTTTCTTTTTTTTTTTTTTTTGTACCAGGGATTGAACTCAGGGGCACTTAACTACTGAGATACAGCACTGCTTCAATTCACAAGGAAGAACATACTGCCTCTGTGGCTGACTTGCTGCCTTTTAGGGATGAGGTGTATAGGGGCCAAGGAATAGATGTATGTTGCTTTTGTCTTCCAGCCTCTACTTTTCTTATTACTAGCAGTCTGGTTTTCCTTTGAAGAACTATCCTTTCCGTGAGACAGGGACAAAGGGAAAATGCACCATGGGACTTTGACTTGTGTACTGACAGCAGACCCCAGGAGGCTTGATGTGTACCATCCTCAACCAGTGTCAGCTTCGCATCACTGGGTTCAGGCTGCCCACTTGTATTTTACTGAATGACTGCATAGCTCATCTTCAGCATAGGGCAAAATGCCTGAGTCGAATACAACATTCCCACCCCTGCAAGTAACCAGTAAAATGAGCCCGCTTCTTTCATTTGGGGAGCCAGTCTGAACCTTTCTTATTGGAGTTGTGTCTCCCTTCACAAGAGTTGCCAGTGAAAACTTGATCTGTGTATTTGTAACCATGTGACTCACTTTCATTTCTATTATCATTGAGTCAAAGTTCTTAGTAACTAGTATCAACCCCATCCATGTGGCTCTGGGTCTAGGGATATGGTATTTTGCCAAAGCAAATACTGTATCATATGGCCACAGTGGTTATTTTAAGAACATCTGACCCAAGCATACAAGCAAGGAATGGGAATTTTGATGTCTTAATTGTGAAAGAAGCACTTTCTGCAAGCATACTACACTGGAAGAATATATATTTGGAGGTTCCAAGGGCCATGAGGTGTTGCCACATGGAGACACAGAAGCTTGGCTATGAAATCAATACTGAGGAGTGCAGAGTGTGAGGGTGTGTGTGGGGATTGATGACACTGAGTCCTTGGTCCAACTGTTCCTGAATGTGATCATACTGCATACTTCCTGATTAGGTGTGCTCCCTCCCCTGCCCCTCTCTTTCTCTCTTTTTTTCCTTAATGCAGCTTTTGTTGGGCTTTTGCAACTCAAGTAATCTTCTCCTGAACGGTGTCAACTGTTTGCTGAGCTCCCAATACAGAGAAGTGGGAAGGTGGCAGAGATAAAGTGGACAGTGGAAAAGGAAGTGAGTTCCAACTTTTTCCACAGAAAATGTTTTTTAACCTTGCCTGTGCCCTGCACAGAGGATAGGATTCAATGGCAATGCAGTTACTGTCAAAAGAAGAAGGATGAATGTGGGAACTCCAGAGGCGTGTTTGGCTGGGGAGGGTGAAGAAATCAGGGTGGCTGAAATGTGGATTATAAAATGCAAGGCCAGCCTCAGAACTTCAGTCACACAAATCAGCAGGCTACATGGTGCTTTTGCTACTCTTTTGATGGCTCCTCCTGCATAATTATTACTTTATATCCTCTGAAAAATTTCTTTGTACATTTAGTACCAAAATAATTCTCATTGTTATTTTCCTGTTTTCTTACCTTTTGTATTCCAAAGTCACCATCTGACTGTTTAACAGTAGGGATTTGTGTGTGGCATAAATCAGTTGCTAAACATCAAAGAGTCCTGTGCATATGTAATAAAGATGGTTTGCAGAGATGGGGAAACAGCAATCATGGTTGGAATTTTCAAATCCATAAGCATAAAGTTTCTGCATAAATAGAATGAAAAGGTGATTTCTATGCATCTGTTTCATCAGGTGGGGGATAACATGTGTGGTCCAGGAACATATAAATCCTCTGAGAAAAAAACTGCTGCATTTAAAAAATGTATGCAGCTGATCAAATGTTTCCTAATGTGTTGGTCATCTGTTGCTACTGTCAGCCCACTCTCTGTGTTCTGCGATATGCCTGGAGTGGAGTCTTGGTCTTTGAATATTGTTTTATTAGAATCCCTTACCAGTTGCTGATTAGGTTCTGCCAATGACAGGCACCAGTTGAGGTCAAAGGAGGAGAGGAGAAAGGATCTTCTTTCTGCTTCTAGCTCTGTTGGCTTTCCACCAGACATAGTGAGCAACTACAGATAGGGGTCTTCTTTCTAGCCTTCCTAGAGCCTTCAAAGCGAAGTCCTCCTTGGCCCCTTCAGCACCTGATACCTTAGAGTAGTGCTATCTCCATGGGGCCTCCGTGCCACCTTCCCCAAGATTCTACCCCCTCCTATACAGCTCTGGGCTCCCTTCACGCTGCAATCTCCATTTTTTTTTCTTGTAGCCTTGGGGCTGGTATATACTGATATTTGTGTTGCTCCATTGACCACTTTCTCAGTCCTCCCTATGTGGTCAATTTTCAATATTCCTTCTTTGAAGTATCTGAAATGGTTTTCTTTTCCTGACTAGTACGCCTAATGAATATCTAAGTGTATGTGTATTAGACATATCAGCTTTTTGGACATTGGGAAAAGGATTGTTGATTTTTTAAAATAATTCATTAAGAAATATTCTTGAAGTGATACTGGACCTAATTTTAAGAATTTTTTTTTAAAAAAACAGATTCTCACCATTGACAACCAAACAGTTCTATTTACAATGCTGATGATGTTCCTAACTCTTGTATGCCTAAAATTTTTCTTTTCTACCCTTATGTTTAGTACTATTTCCTACTCCATCCTCACATAGTCAGTAATTAAATGGTGTTTCCCCTGGGCATCTAAGCATTTTGGGCTTGGTCCCTACCCTTATTTGGCAATGATAAATAGCGTTGATTGAAGGAAATATGATGTAGCTAGCCATCAAAGACCTTATTGTAAACAAACTTGTCAAATGACAAATTTTAGAAAAGTTTTGCCCACTCCTACCAGTTCCTCTGGTACTCTCCTCTGCTGTGTTACCTTCTTCAGAAAATTCTTCATGAGATCTGGTCCCCCAAAGACTGTGTTGTAGCGTGGGATTCCCCAGGATACAGACCCTGGCATGGAGCTGTACAGGAAGGGCTTTTATTGGGGAGGGCTCTTGGGAACCACACTGGCAAAGGGATGGGGGAGCTGGGCAGAGGGAGAAATTGAGCTGCAGCACAGTTGCAAAAGCAATTAATGCTACCCTTTGATGTTGCAGAGAAGTTCCAAATCAGTCATGGAATGCGGACTACTCCAGGGAAGAGGTATGAACTCAGGTGAGACAGTGTTCAGCAGCTGAGGGACTTACTGTCAGCGGTAATGCTTCTAGCATCTGCAGGATGAGCATGCAAGTGGATCAGGGTGATACAGCATGGTATCCACTATGATTGATCTAGTAAAAGTTCTTGGGGGCCCAATGCCCTTCCTTTTAAGTACACATGGGAGTGCATTGTGATTGTATGTTCATATGTTAGTCTAAGACCAGGCTCCAGCATCCGGAAGAAACATGGTACAGAATAGGCCCTGGATAAATGTCGAAGTTTGTGTAGGAAAGGGGTTTATTTGTTTCTCCTAGCTATTGCAGTAAGCATGGAATTTAATGTGTCCTACTATCCTCCAAAAATGGGGTCAAAACAATTGTTTTTAGTTTTGTTCTGGAGAAGCTGTGTGACTTAAGCTCTGGGGAAAAAAATCTGTGGAGGACACATTTTGGAAAAAGTGGAAAACTTCAAAAAATACCTATCAGGTGCTTTGACCATAAACAGGCACAGAGAAGCAGAGGCTGAGAGGGACAACTGCCCACAGAACTGGACGGTAATGGCCAGATGTCCCAAGACATTGTTTCCCTGCAGTTGCTCACAGGTGTGACTACTTTGGTTGGCACTTAGTGAAAGCTTCCATAGTTACTGCTTTCAAGTATCCCCAAAAGTCAACCAGTTCTTAACTCACCACCAGTCAGGTAAGAAAAAGAGTTGAAAGGCGGCAACATCAACAGGAAATAAAACATTTTTATTGAATATCCAGGTCATATGGTAAGTCATTTTTAACAACGACCAGAAAACTACTGTGGAATTCACTACACAAAGTGAAACAAAATTTAAACCACCTCATCAAAAAATGAAGGTAAAATACAGCTAAAGTAGTGGGCTCGCGGGCCACGAGCCTTATGGCAGAAGAAAACACCCCAACATTTCTACAAGACACAGAAAACCCACACATAGAAACACTCAAGCAGGCAGTAAATATACACAAAGGCAACTAGGATCTTTCTACGGCATCAGATTCTAATACTTTACACAGCTTTGTCAGAAAGGTACATGTGGCTTATCTAAAGATGAATCCTGGTCATAAAGCAGGTTTGGTCACCGACTTATGAGAGATGACATAGTACCAACTAATTCTACGGTGACAATCCCCTGTTGGCAGTGTTGCAAGAGAATGCATTACCAGTACTTTCTTGCAGGAAGTAATGTCTGCTCAGCAGCTTGAACCTGCTCGTTTTAAAGCGTTGTTTCATTGTGCACAACTCAAAGCTGAAGATGGTGAAGTTAAATGTCAGTGTCTGGTATTTAAGGAATTTTTAAAAGTCATCTCCCCCTCTTTGGTAGGGTTTGGTCCTTTAAATTGGAACAAGTCTCATTTGAATTGTGTTCAAACTGATGTTTGATCTTACATTATGACTTGTGCATTTTCTATTATCTCTCTGTGTGTGTGTGTGTCTATGTGTGTGTGTGTGTGTGTGTTTTAAAGAAGTATGAACCATCAGCAGAAGGAGATGTCATTCTCCTTTTATCCTTTGTGTCTGTTTCATTAGTTAAGAGTTTGCTGTGATGGGGTAAAAGGTGAAAGGGCTTGCCTCTTCTTTGATGAGGAAAGAAAAATGTCAGGGATTCTTATTTTATTGAGAAATAGCCAACCCCATGTTTAAAGTCTACCATCAGCCCTTTTTGAATTCTCTTTCAGTTTTTTACAAAACATGAAGTGATACTCTTGAAGACTGAACATGAGACCAATGCTTGGTTCTCCTCCATTTGATTTTGGTATGTGTAAAGATAAACTCTGGCTTTAGAGCATCACTCTTTTCTATGACCTCAAAGTTCCAACTGGTCACAGAAGTAAGTAAGAGAAAAGACTAGAAGCAGCATGGGATAGATAAAAGGCTGCCCTTCCACAAGTGGCTGTCTACTATAGTGGGGGAAAATATGGAATATTGCACAGTGCTTGACAAAATGCTGTGTGTTCCACCGCAGTCGACGTGTCCTTCTTGTCCTATGCATAGCTTTTCAGTTCTGAATTGGTCCTTTGTAATGAGAACTGTTTGTGCTACACACACCTTGGGCAGTGCAGTAGAAGGGAATGGCAGTATTGTTACAATATCACTACGGAATAAATTGAGTGCTATCCACTGAGGAAACTACGTGTCTAAGCACACACGGCAGTCACAGTGTTACACAGAGCAGTCCTTTAAGACTTGTATGGAATGACTAATAGCTTCATAATAGTGCCAATTACTACATAATAACATTGAAACATTTAAAAACTCCTCCTAAATCAAGCATCTAGTGTACATAAGAGGTTGCTTCAGTTTTCTAGAACTTGTTCTTGGTTTTGTTTCACCTTTGTTTAAAGGACAAATTAAAACTTATTTAAGTAAAAAGAGTATATAAAAAGATCACTAGCTGTCTGTTTTGGCTTAATTGAAGTGCATTCAGAACTATGGCTAATTAGTTTTTTTTTTTTTTCATCTTTGATGGGATTACAATACTGTCTGTTTACCACAAAGTAATTTTGTGTAATAAGCACAGATTGCTGTGTTAAAAATATTCTGCATTCCTTCTAATCTGGTTTTGTATAATAAAATATTTTGTTACAAAGTCTAATGTGCAAACCTTTTGGAATCATTATAGGTGTGAAATCTGGAACAGAATTCACAGGATGCACATTTTGTATAAAGGTGATAATGGAGAGCTATTTTTTTCTTTTTAAATAGGCAATATTTCAGAAATGCTGACTTTTCCCCTCAGTTTCTCCTCCCCCACCCATCCCCAAACAAATGTGTGCTCCACACATGCACACAAACACATACACTCATTAGCTCATACGCCCTTGCATACTCACTGAACACCATATCCTGTCATTACTCTACATGCAGTAATGTGAATTCATTGACTCCTGTTCTGTTGCTTCCTCAAATATAAGAGTGAAGCCATGATTTTAGCTTTGTAGAATGTACAGACAGATGCTTTTCTGGTTTGTGGCTATGCTTCCTTGAGGTCGGCCTGGATGCTGCTCAGATCATTCTATTTTGCCTGTGAAAGAATTCTACAAAATTGGATTCACCCACCGAAGATGTGGTGGAAGTATATCTTGGTACTCAAATGATTCAATAGAAAGCTCAGGTTTAAGTTGTCCTTTAAGATGTCAGTTTAACTGTACTAGTGCCTTACAAGTTGATATTTTTGCTGGAATGCAGACGATACTATATTTACCATATAATATATTATCAGCTCTCCTATATCTCAGTCAATTTACATAGTTTAAAATAGAACATCTTATTAAAAACATCTAGATATACACATATTAGGAAACACAACATACAAATACACAAACTAGAAATAAATCTTTAGCATACTGGTATATACAACAGTGTGATACAATAAATAATTTCCGTCATGCTCTATCTACACATCATATTGCTTAAAAGAAGAGTAGATTTGGAGGGCAGTGGTATGATGAAGGGCACAGGGGCTCTCTACACTTAAATTTGTGCAAATTAAAACAGGATTTGAAGTACCACTGAATTGTGTTAGGAATGCATGGCTGGAAAGATGAAAGGACCCATATTACTGAGGTATTTACAGATACTGGCTAAAGAGCACTATGTGGGCAAATGCAGAAAGGCTTCTTCTTCCCTTTACTTCTTGACAGCCAGCATGGCATCGACTTCCTCCTCCACCTGTAGGGTGTGCCACTGGGCAATAGGTCGCCTAGGGTTGGCCAGCATGTCTGACCAGTGTCGCAGCTCCGCGCCAGTGCTATTGTAGCCCACAAAGACTTTGCCGATGGCATCGTTCTTGCCAATCTTGTCATAGTCCAAAACAGTTACCACCACTTGCACTTTCTGAAAGAGGGCACAAAATGAATATATATCATCTTGCTGTAGAGAAATAGCCCTATTACAATGCTTCTTTGAGATCTAAGGGAACGAAAATAAGAAGAATCAATCTACAACCACCAGGATGAGACTGAAAATGACCTACCTGCACATGAAAACTTGAGTCCAATATTTATTTTTCCACTACTACCTCATCACCACCACCACCATCATCAGGGCCATAATCTCAATATTTGAATGTTCATTTTTATTATGTGCATTGCATTATCTTGAATCTCATATAATATTAACTCAATTATTTCTCTTGGTAGATCCTGTTGACTTGCTATTATACAGATAAGGATGTCAAGAGAAGCTATCTAACCTGTCTGAGATTGCATAAGGAATGAGTAAGTTGTTTTCCAGATCCTGGGCTGTAAACTACATGAGCCATGTCACGTCAGCCTCTAAATCCCCTATCTCGTCAGTGAGAATTCCAGTATTAGCAATAGTACATTTTTGCTGTTGCTGTTAATTTGATTAAAATTCTCCAAGTAGCCATGTGTTTATTATCCCTTTTCAGGAAGGAATAGCTAGCATTTTATGTGAAACTAATATAGAATATCAGTTAATCATGATTATGAACATAAAATGTGACAATATAGTGAATATCTTTAAAAAATGGTAACAAAATAAGTTTTTTTTCTCTATCATACGTTCTCTCAATAAACAGTTATGAAGTAACTACTGTATATCTGACATCAAATTGATATTATCTTTTAGGCCACACAGGATCTACCTCAACGATTTAATCAAATTGTAAAGATATATTTAGTTTTTTTGGACTGCCTGAATGATGAAAACAAACCCATATTATTATGGTATAGAAGATACACTTTTTAAAAGCACATTTCAGTTCTGAATTTATTTAGTCAAAATATGTGACGGCTCCTATCTAAAAACTGAGTGTAAAGGAAAAAGGAAGAGTTTAAAGTAAAATAGAACATATATAACATTTTGTGGTCAGAGTCTGAGCAGAAAATGTAATTATAAATATCAGGCCCAGATGAAGATCCAGCAGAGTAATAGCCCTTTGTGGACTTTGTACAGTGAAGACTAAATTATTGTCCCAATGTACTGAGAGATGACACTGTCGTACATCTTCTGAACAGAGAAAACAATCACTCTGAAAGTGGAATTCAGAATGTAAAATGCAACCCACTGGCAATAAAGGAGACAGTGTTCCTTGTGCTGCCTTGCAGTGATTCTATTGTTGAGAAAATTACTATCTACTGCTGGTACTGAAGCCAAGGACAAGGTGGTATTTGTTGGCTATCGATTCTCTGAACTTGTCCCAAGAAAGTTCATCAGGATGTAATCGTATTTCAGAGAGTGGGGTAGGGGATGCACAAAGAGTTTTCAGAGTTTGCAGTAAGTCCCGATTATTCCATTGAGTAATAAATTAGTTAGTGGCACTGAAGACAAAATATCCTTCTGATGGTCTTGATTTATTATAGCCTTGAATTATGATTATAATTTATTATAATTATAAAATAATGAAGTTTCTTTTTCTTTTCTTTTGGTGGAAGGTGAGGGTAACATTTCAAATGATTTTGGAAAATAGCACATTATGCTTTTTTCATAATATATTTCAGAAGGATTGAGAAAGACAGGATACAGAGAGATAATTTTATACCCCCAGGATCAGAAAAACCTAAAACACTCTTTATCATATGAAAGACTCAATTATTTTCTCTAGGGAAATGCAAATATTAGGAAAGAGCAATTGGCCCAAGGAGCAGGAAAGGAGAGATGCCCTCAGAAGAGATTTCCTTCCTTCCATGTCTGATGCACTCTCCATTGGGTTCAGGCTCCCCTTCTTTGCTTTAAAATGTTACCTCAAAAACCCAAAATATGTCTTGTTTTTAATATGCTTCAATTTCAATGTATTTGTATTTGCTGAGATTTGCAGTTGAAATTTATTTTCAAAGTACAAAATGTTAAAGTACAGAATGATAAAGGAGAAAAGTTTACAAGAGGAGTTTTCATCTCAGTGACCTGCTTTGTATTGTTTTGTGGAATTAAAAAATAAAATGCCACAAGGTGTTAGTTTCCATAGGAATAAGATCTTAGAATGCAAAAGAATTCACTGAACAAATACTGCAAAATAAATTCCTCAAGAAAATTGATGTCTTAGCAGGTTGCCAGTGGGTTCAAAGCAGTGTGGGTTCACAGATCCAGGTTACTAAGAACCAGTGTCCCTTGTGATGTCATTTATATATATGAAAACTGATGAAAGTAAATAATTATGCATAATTTGCCACTATGTGAAAAATGTGTATGAGAAAGCTTATGTAAGTACATGAACTGATTTGAGGATGCTGAGGTTATTCTTATTTTTGGTCATTTAAAACTGCCCTACTTTCTCTTTGGATAATAACACTATGTCAGTTAAAAAGAACTTTTGGGAGTTTTCTATTGTGGTCAATTATCAATAAACTTTTGCTGATTGTTTATCTTCCTTAAAAAATAAAAAAAAATAGGGCTGGGATTGTTGCTCAGTGGTAGAGCACTTGCCTAGCATGTGCAAGGCTCTGGATTTGATCGTCAGCACCACATTAAATAAATAAATAAATAAATAAATATATTGTGTCCAACTACAACTAAAAAATGAATACTAAAGTAAGTAAGTAAGTAAGTAAATAAATAAATAAATAAAGCTGCTCTACTAACCACAGGTAGCTGTTGAAATTTCCTTCTCAATAAGTTGAAATTAAATATCATTCCTCAATTAGTGACTAAGTTGACAGTTGTTGGCCACCATATTGGGCAGCATGGGTCATAAAACATTTCCATCATCACAGAGAGTTCTGTGGGACAGTGATGATTTATATACTTAATCTTATTGTTAAATCCCTTTTTTAAGACAATGTTAATTTGAAAAAGAGATGACATTAATGCAGAATAGTAACAATGATGAAAATTCTTGAGAGTATTCCTATGTGCTAGATTGTTCCAAGTGCTTTTATATGTATAATCTTGCTTTGACATAAATTTTGTTATTATTCCTATATTTATATATGAGAGGGAATTCTAAGCCTCAGTTTGCTTGTCAATACAATTAGGACAGTAATCATATGTGTAAGGTTATCATAAAGATGAGATTATCTATGGAGTGCTTAACTTGGACCTAGGCACATAACATACAATAAATTGAGCTATTGTAGTAGCTTTCTTCATTGAATGAAAATGTATTTCATTCATAAGATGCTATATTTTAGGAAACGATTAAAAGTAAATGAAGATTTACTGATTTTTGTTATTCTGGATATTTAGAAGTTTCCATGTTCTATTCATTTGTGTTTGTTCTTCTCCTTTAAGTTATGGATAAATAAATATAAACTGCTCTACTGACCACAGGTAGCTGTTGAAATTTCCTTCTCAGTAAGTTGAAATTAAATAACATTCCTCAATTAATACCACTGTTAATACCACTGTAAACATAGAACCACATCAATTATTTAATAAAATGTAAAAAATAGTGTTGTTTTATGCAGTTTGACTTCCTGATACCCATTAAAGACCAGCAAGATAGTCCACAACTATTGAATGTGACCTTTGACCTCTGACAGATGTGAAAATGGGGCAAGAAAATTTAAGTATTTTTTGAAATCCCTAAATAAAAGTATTGTATATTATCATTGTGGCTACAAATAGCATCTTATTTGTATACATTAACTATAAGATCTTTTGGGCTACTTTCTACCATAATTGTTTAAACAATTAAGTCCCCTTTGTTACAAAAATATGTATCTATTCCAAATCAGTCATAGGAAGCCAAATTTAAACAGCTAAGATACAACTTAGCCAATTTTTTTCTCTTGTTAATTATCTTTTAATAAGAATTCAAGTTACTTCATATTTAGCATCACTCAAAATTTCTTCTTATCTCTGCTTTTTTTGTTCTAAAGATGTCATAGGAAGAGTTTCTTTTTATGGCTGGAGAATAAAGACTGAAAACTCATTTTCTCTTGACTTTTAAACTTCATAGATGAACTTTTTGAGTTAGCCAAGTTGTTCTGCTGATTTTCTTTCTTTCTTTTCTTTTCTTTTTTTTTCTTAACCTTGCTTCTGTTGAGCAGAAGGACAGCTGTTTTTGGCTGACGAAGCAGCACATTCTGTGCTGTGTATTTTGTCATATATCTCCTGCTGCGGCTCAATCATCGGATGTGCAGGGCAATAGGAATGGAAATTCTAACCACGACACAGACACTGATAACAGTGTGTATCATTTGTGTGGTCTGAAGAAATGAAATTGAATGAGGGAACAAAATTATGTCTGACATTACCTGGATTTGCTCAAAAGGTACTTCAAAGCTGAAAGACTCATTGTAGTAGGGGTTAAGTGTGTTCTTTTTAATTGTTGTCTTTTTCTTCTTCAGCCTCTTGCCATTCTGCATCAGATGAATCTTCACATAAGGATCTGAAAAACAGACACAAAACCTTTAAATGACCAGAGACACAGATCATAATTTATCTTATAAAAGGACCATGTATTTTCAACAGATAATTAATTGTATAGCATGTATTTGGTATTTTTTTAAAACTTCAAGCAAATTTTTATTGAAAGATTTTAAGTAACCTATGGGGTATGCTTTTTGCCTTGCTGTATGAATATTTACAATTTTGAAGATGAGAGCAGCGGTGTGCTGGTAAACCAGCTCTTTGGAAAAAATAGACTTGATTTAGCAATTTGCAGATTTCTGTGGTATAAGTATGCTCACCAGAGCTGATTTCAAGCCACAAATGGCTTAACAACCAGCTAGTAAAGTCCCTGAAAATTTAACAATTGACTTTTTGAGTTGGCAGAGGGCTTGGCTGCTACACACGACTGAATGGGAATAGAACTTGACCGAGGAGAGGACAAAGAAGCCATGCCATTCGTTCATTTTCCCATTTATCAACCAATATTAATTGAGTGCCTAAGAAGCATGAGGTATTGTTGAGTCCCAAAGGTGCAGCAGTGTTCAGAAAAACCTTTCTCTGTCCTCAGGATGGACTTCAGACTTGTTGGGGGAATAAGAAGCTTGTAAAGAAACTAAATACATACGAATTAGAAGTGGAAGAAAGGAGCAGAGATCTGATAGCAAATATGGAGAATGATACAGTGAGTGATAAGTAGGAATGAAGTTGTGAAACTGCTCAAGTAAGGCCTCTGTGCAGGTAACATTTCAGTCCAGATGTTGTGAAGGGGGAGAAGAAGTCAGCATGCTAAGATCTAGACCTCGTTCCCGTCCCCTAACTACTAAGTCCTTTAAATGGAAAAATAAGCACCTAACTGTGATCATACATGTGCTTGTGTTTGAGAGAGACACAGAGTTAGAGACTGAGAGGAAGACAGAGAGGGATGACTGAACATTCCTAGGGAGGAAAGGGCTTGCTTCAAGTGTGCAAAGAAAAGAGAAGAGGCCACACAGAGGTAAGGAGAAAAGGGCTGAAAGACTCTCTGAGCATTTTCCCTGAAGCCTTATTAGGCAAAGGTAATCAAAAGCAAGTCCCTGGAGGGATGAGGGAGTTTCCATTGACAGCTCTCATTACTGACGGTGGAATGACACCTTCAGGAACCAACCCAGGATGGAAAGGAAAATTTCCCCACTGTTTTTCTTAAACATTTTTCCATTTCATGCGTAATGCGTGTTCATTATAGAAAACTATCAGAAGGCAATGGTAAACAACCAAAAAAAAATCTTTTATATCAACCAAAATAACCACTGCTAAGCCTTCCAAATTTTCTCTCTTCTCTCTTGGAACACCAGGAGTTAGGAGAAATATTACAATCTAGTTTAATGCCCACATATTTTTAGAAGAGAAAACTGCAGATAAAAAAGGGCTGTTTTTATCTCCCCCTCCCTACTCATGTTCCCTCAGTAGAACATAACTCCTGAAGGACAGAAACTTTGCCATATTTGCTCTTTGAACTTACAAAAATAGGAACTCACACAAAGGCAGTTTGTTTGTTTGTTTGTTTGTTTGTTTTGGTGGTGGGGAGGGAAGGCAGGGGTTGCAGTAGGAGTGGTGCTGGGGGTTGAACCAAGGGCCTCACACATGCAGGTGGCCCTGATCCCTTGCTTAGTTCATTGGTAACTTTTTTCCTGACATCTAGACTTTGTTCCTGTCTCCCTACCTAATAAGTCCTCTAAATGGAAATATACGCATCTAACTGTGAGTCATACATGTGCTTTGAGGACACAGATTTTAAAGCAAAGTTAATCTCTCCTAAAAAGCAGGCCTCAGAATAATTAAATTTGTTCTGTTTTGGGGGCTATTCCGCAAAGCTAGTTCTTGTCAGTTCACAGTTTCTTGGTGGCTTAGAAGTCCTGATGATTGTATAAGACGGCATAATTTTATGGAAATGATAAAACAGGCTGGAATGAGACTCGCTGAGGTTGTGGTTACTCTTCCTGAGTATATCTGCCAGACAACCCTCATGGCACCTCAACACCCTTGGGCTTTTTGAAAAATGTAATAACATGGGAAAGTATGCAAGCTACAAAAGTGTACTCCTGATCTCAGCACTCGTTCTCTGTGGCTTGTGGATTCCTTCTGCTCCTAATATCAAGCACATGGAAACCTTCACCACCTGTGCCCTGACAATACTTTTTCAACACCCTTTAGATAATCCATGTTGCCACCCAAATGATACAAAACCAATGCTTGGGAGAGTTGACTTCTTTCATTTGTTTAATTTATCTTTAAAAAATAGTAGAGTTGTTTTTTAAAATTTGGGTAAAAAGGTCTTTTTTTTTTGATGTCTAAGATGATGACATATGACTGTAAGTTTTCCAAAAAGACATGATAAACTATGATCAGAAAGGAGGCTCTTCATTCCTAAAAGAGCGATGAATATGTATATTTCCTGGCCTTGTTCTGGGCTGTTTTCAGGCTGTCCCTTGGTTTTGGTATGGATGTGTCATTCCCATCCCTCGCCCACTGTTGTCAGGCTTTTTTTATTTGTTTATTTGAAATCACATTGGCTGGACTTTATCTCCTCTGTGTCTTAATAGCTCTTCTGACTTGGAGGTTTTCAGAATGCAGCACTGACATCATTCTTAAACTTTTGTTCTTTGGTAAGCCTTTTTAATATCACAGGTTGAGTTTCTTTTTTTTCCCCTAACATTCACAATTATGGAAGGCAGTTCTCCCAGAGCCTGGGAATGGGTTATATGGCAAACACAACACAAAACAAAAAAGAACCCACAAAAAGCCCCAAAACAAAAACAACAAAACTCCCAAACCTAGATAAACAACAAAAACAAAACAAACAAATGAAAAAAACAAATGCAAACCTTTGCAAATGTGATCAAGATCAAGGATTTTGGGATGATATCATCCTAGAGTATCTAGGAAGGCCTGATCTAATCTCCTGAGTCCTTGAGAAGAAGAACCTTTCCTGGCTATGCTCAGAAAGAGATATGATAATAGCAGAATGGTCAGATCTGTGGGTAGGTAGGAAGAGTGGAGGGGGAAAGTGGAATGAGAGTGGTATTAGTCAAATTATATAGTTATATTATATGCATGTATTAATATATATAAAAATTCCACCATTATGTACAACTATAATGTACCAATAAAAAATGCTTCTGATAAAGCATCAGTTAAAAAAAAAGTGTCAGAGGCATGCTATACTGTTAGCTATGAAGATGGAGGAAGGGGCCATTAGCCAAGAAATGTAGGTGGCCTCTAGAAGCTAAAGACAAGGAAATAGATTCTGCCTTAGAGAATTCCAGAAAGGAATGAAACACTGCTGACATTTTGATTTTATGGCAATGGGACTTGTGTCAGATTTCTTTTAAAAAATCATTTAAAAATGATTTAATCTTTAAATTGACAAATAGAGATTGTCTATATTTATTGTATATAATATTATGTTTTGAAAAATATATACAATATGGAATAGCTAAATTCAACTAATGAACATAGGCATATTATCTCACATGCTTATTTTTTTTGTGGTGTGAATACTTAAAATCCATTCTCTTAGCAATTTTTAAGAATACAATACTTTTTTTCTTCTTTTTTCTTTTGGAGATTGAGTCTAGTACTATACCACTGAAATACATCCCCAGCCCTTTCTATTTTTTATTTTAAAACAGGGTTTTGGTAAGTTGCTTAGGGTCTTGCTAAGTGGCTGAGGCTGACCTTGAACTTGGCTCCTCCTGCCTCAGTTTCCCCAGTCCCTGTGATTACAGGTGATTACATGCCTGGTTAATGCTTAGTCACTATGTTGATATGGTGACTATGGTCACCATGTTATACAATAGATGTCTTGAACTTTTTCCTCCTATCTAACTAAAGAACTAAAGATAATAAATATGTGTTGTTTTAAGCCACTGAGTTTGTGATAATTTGTCATGGCAACAATGGAAAACTGATACAGCAACCAAATTTGAAGAAATAATTCTATTGTTTATCTAGCTAAGTGTGAGAAAGAGAGTCAATTTTTAATAGGTCTAGAAAATGATCTTTTGAAAAAATTGTCAATATTTCCACTCTTAGAAAAATGATTATTTTGTCCTTCAAAGAAAAATCTTCAAAAAGTTCAAGTCTTTTCAATTAAAAAAGAAAGAAAGGAAAATAACATAGAATGTACCACCTGAAGATGATAGTAATATACTTTTCAAGATTATAGTAAAACAAATGGCATATAAGTTGAGAATGAGTTTTACAAGGCTTATAAATAATAATATTCCTTTATATTTGTAGAACACTTTATTGGTAGGTATATATTTAAATGATCATCTCCTTTAATCCTTCAACTGAGCCTGAATTTTTTGAAGAACTCAACTCCATGTCTTCTGTCTCCAAACCTGGTGTTCTTTGTGCTGTGTTGGGGAGACACTTTAGTATAGAGTGTACAGGTAAAGACTCCAGAGCCACGGCCACTCAGATCTTGGCTCTGCTACTCACTAGCTATGTGGTCTTAGACAAGTTATTTAACCTTTTTGGGCCATAGTTCCTTCAAATCTAAAGTGGTGAACGTGAAAATACCAAGCTCACAGTCGTGAAGATGAAATGGAGTTACTTCATGCAAAGTGCTTGAGAGTGAATCTGGCACATATTCCTGTTGGTTATTCTGATAGTGCGGTGGAAATGAAAACCTCTTAGACAGATGTGTGAATCTGACTCCCCCAACTCACTCTGCTGACCTGGTGGCCACCCTTGGTAAACAAGGGGGGGACCTCTTTTCATTTGCTTCACAAGTAAGACAAGCTCTGCTAGTGTCAGTTTTTTTTTCTGGAAAGTAATGTACCCATTCTAAGCAACTGGCTCACTGATGAAGAATTTAATCACGTTGGTGATAAAAGACAGAGAATGTCTTTCACTACTGCCATATGAGGTAGTTCTGAGGGGTGAGATCTGAAGCAAATTCGACATACTGCACGGTTTCCTCCCACTCTCAGAGTCAAATTACGCATAGCTGAA